TCCTTTGTCATTTTCATAATACCCTGGAGATAAAATTTATGATTTAAAGTAAAATAAGTATGATTTGTATGCTGAATAAAATTGCTTTCTATTATAATCACTGCTAACCAAAACTATGTAAAAAAATTTAATAAATGAAATAATAATACTGCAATATTTATTTGAGGCAGTGGTAGCCCAGTGGTAATACGCTCGCTTGAGAAACCGAGTGAAGCTGGTTCAAATCTCGATTCTCGCACCTCAGATATTTTCATGTGCGAATCATTTCCAACATGATTACCACTTGTCTTAAGGTGAAGGAAAATATCTTGAGGAAACCTGCATGTCTGAGAGAACCAAGCAGTTTTCAAAAGACATGTGAAGTCCGCCAACCTGCATTTGGCCAGCATGGTGGACTATGGCCTGATCCCCTCGTACTGAAGCAAGGCCCGTTCCCAGCAGTGGGACATTAAAAAGGGCGGAATACAATACAATTTATTTAAAAGTAATTTTAGAAATTAGTTATAAACTATGAATATATTAAGTGTTGTAAGCAAATAAAATAAACCATATATTTATTACATATGATTTAAATACGTAGATAGGTCACAGGTACGCTAGAAGTTCACGCCTGTAGAGATCGCACGCATTAGTACACACGGTAGAAACGCTCCATATGACCAAAGCACTGATTGTTGACCGTTAAATAATTGTACCTTTCTTGTTGAAACGAAATAGTTTACAAATTTTTATGTAACGTCAATATACTTTTTTCTGACCAAATATATGAAAATATGACGGAATAAATTTCAAGGTGACCGACTTCTTATTAGGTATCTATAGTAAATGAAAACCCCCGTTCGGTTCATTTTTAATTTTTAGTATTTTTTTTAAGTCGGTTTAATAATTTTTTTATTAATTATTTTTTTTGTTTCGTAATTTTTTAAAATTTTAATTATTACAAAAACTGAAACAGCTTTTGTAATAAGTGGTAATTACAAAAAGTATTTCAATTTTAGTTACATGTTTAAATTACAAAAAAAAACGACTGAACAGATTTTGATGATATCTTTATCATTCCCTAAATTGAAATATATGTAAGCTAATAAAAAAAATGATCACAATCCGATTACTAGTTTCGAAAAAATGCGAAACATACATACATACATACGTACATACACCTATATGTAAAATAGTTCAAATAATATTACATACATGGCGAATTTATAACCTCCTTTTTTGAAGCCGGTTAATAAAATAATCACTCACAGAATCAAAAATAGTAACAATAAAGTAGGTAATACGTAAAAAAGTCAATAAAACACCGACGTAATGTACTCGTATATCTGAAATGGACTAACGAAATAAAAAAATCATTAATTAAATTTCACGAAGCAGTAAAATGAAGATAATGCTTTTTAAATACTTGTTATTGCATAAAGATTTATGTACGTTTAATATACTAAGGACTGCTTACGGCTTTACGCCTATATATTATACTAGCATTGCCGGCGGCTTCGCCCGCGTTCAGGTGACCAAAAACCAAATTCTTAGGTTTTACATAAATATATATATATATATTCTTATATTACAGTTTTTGTATTTTTTTTCTCAGAAATGAGATATTTTCCCGCATTAAAAAGTATCCTTTAAGTTGACCCGGATAATAAGCTATCATCATACCAAATTTCATCAAAATCCCTCTAGTGGTTTTTTGGATGAAAAATTTAATAAAAACTATCTATAGTTTTTAATTCAGCCCCTGTATAATAATGATTATTTCAATAAGATTTTCCAAAAAATATTTAATGTACAGATTCGACTCAGAATTTATTATATGTAGATATAGTAAATATTGAGATAGAAGACTATACGCTTCGTTGCTGGGTATATATATCTTATATATTTAAACGAGCTATTCTTGTATATATATATATATATCAATATATAATCTGAATCTCGGAAACGGCTCCAACGATTTTCATGAAATTTAGCATGCAAGGGGTTTCGGGGGTGATAAATCGATCTAGATTAGTCTTATATCTGGAAAAACGCGAATTTTCGAATTTTCATGCGATTTTATTTTGCATTTTCACAATTTTTGCATTGTCACTTCTGGTGAGTGGGCGGCGCCACTGTGCAACTGTCAACATCGTGTCCGTATTTACATCAAGTTTAAATATATTTAAGTGAAAATAATCTAAAGAGTAAATATAAATTTAAATAATAAAAATAAATTTTTAAATAAAACCTATGGGCAATATGTAAACATCACCAAGTCTTGATGTGTTGAAGAACAAATGAGCTTTTAAAAATTCACCTACCAAACAAATATAAAAGTGACAAACATAACTTAAAGATACTATTAGTGCAAAACCATCTTTTCTGTGTGTGATGACAATAAAACAAAATAATTTGTGAAGTGAAAGCGTCAAATATTAAAACATAAGTTTATAACCTCAAAAACTAATACTCGGTATAAAATTGCAATTCAACTTGGTATAATTGGTGCTTTTTTCAATCAGCTTTTCTACTTCCAACTTCACACATAAGATGGAGGACAAAAAAGTTGCTAATAAACATGCAACAAGAAATAAGACAGCAGAAAACAGAAATGTTAGAAATGAAAGAAGACATTAAAAATACAATCAACAATAATATACTTAAATGAGAAATTTAAACAGTTAGAAATAAAAATTGAAGTTCTTGAGAAAAAAATCCAGGAACAAAGTACCTCAATAAATAATTTAGAAAGACATATTAGGCGCAAGAACTTTCATGAACTCCTATCATGAACTAGAGGAAAAAATAGTCTTAAACTAAACGGAAATAAAAAAGAAGTCTGCCTGTATCTCCAGAAACGCCTTACCTCAATTATAAACAAAAACTAACAAATAAACAACATACAAAGAAAACCATACCTGGTAATATTAAAGACTTAATATTACAAAAACCAAAGTTAACTTTCAACCACACAAATGATAACCAGGAACAACTAAAAACAACACAGCAAGATACAGTATATTAAACACCGTAGGAACCTCCTCATCTTTATCCACCAGTACGGCCGGTCACTGTGGGGGAGTTCGACCGTAACCCTCCAAAGAAAAACAGACATACAATGAACAAAGGTATACATATCTTCACCAGAAAAACTTCTAGAATTTAAAGCAGCATTTCCTACAACAAATCAAAAGAACACAAAGATAAAATTATAAACTTTATAGGCATATCAGAAACAAATTATATATTGAAAACAAAATTTGAAAAGAAACCCTTTGCAATCATACAAGCATAATCTCCAACGGAGAGCTCTATGCAGGACTACTTTGGAGGAGGCTTTTAACCGAGAGGGGTCTATACATGAAAAAGACATTTACTAAATAAATACATTTAATTATGAAATTAAATACCTAATTTATAACTATTGTCAGAATTAATGTATGGAAAGAAATTTTATTTATATTTATTATTGTGAAATGTTTAGTATTTACTCAATTGAATTATTTAATTTATTGTGATTGTTTATTTATTTATTTGTTAATGATAATTTATATATATACAATATCATTTCAAATAATATGAAGATTTTTAAAATATGTAATTTAATTCCAGATTACAAAATTATTATTTAAAAAATTATAAGTTAATAAATAGTCACTAAATTATATAATTTTATATTTCAGCAATGTGATATAGACATTTTTGTTATTGTACAACTAAAATGGCTCCTAATATACTCTTAACCAAATAAAATTTTAATGGAATACTTTTATAAAAAGCTGTGCATACTTTTAAAGTAAATTTATATATAAATAGGTAAAATTATAATGTTAAATAAATGTTTTTATGTAAATTTAGTTAGTAAGCCTTTATAATAAATAAATGAATAAATAAATAGAGCTTTATTATTATTATGATTTCTTTTGCATTATTTTAATAAATTAATAATTCCACGCAAAATATTATGTTCGATAATTTCGCACGCTCAGATATAAGCATTATGGTCAAGCGGCCAATGCACAAGTTAGGCAACCACAGGTGTCTACGATCGTATCCCGGTCGGACACAAATGTTTTTAATTTTGTTTTTTTTTGTATTTATTCAAATTCTTAGTTTGTTTTTTTTAATTTTAGTTTGTTTTTTTTTTAATTTTAGTTTGTTTTTTTGTTTGCCAAAAACTCCGAGCAAAGCTCGGTCGCCCAGGTACTATATATATATATATATATATATATATATATATATATATATATATGTAAAAACTAAACACTCCAAAAACTTTTTCTACTCTGTTTGTGAACTTTTTTTAGTATGTATTGAAAAGCATTTTTTTATTGATAACACTAATAAATATATCATTAATAAATATGTTGGGATATTAACACACAGCACCATCTAGTTCTATGGTAAGCTACGAGGCGTGTGTTATGGATACCAGTTAGTTGATACACTACACATATATAGCTTTAAATACATACATATTATAAATATAAATACCCATATCTGGAGTAAAAATATTTGTACTTAACACACAAATGAATCCCCCCAGCAGGACTCGAACCCGCGACCGGTGGCACAGCAAGTAGGGTCACTACAAACTGAACCAAACGTGTCATACACTAAAATTTTATCAATAAAAAAATTGGGAACAGTTATTTTTTATAAAGCTAGGAAAATTTCTATTCCTATATAAATTTTCAAGTTCTCTATTACAATGTTAGTCGTATTTCGTTCGCTACGCGAACACTAGTATAAATTAAGCAGAATTTTATTGTTTTTTTTTGTTGTAGTAGATACAAATATTTGACCATCTACTTTTTTAAATTTCGTAACTCCTTAACGAATAAATTATCTATATTTTAACCGACTTCTTTACATCTTTCATTACAAACACTAAATAATACTAACACGTCAATGTCCGTTAGTTCTTATATCTACATCTACAAATGAATATAAGCAAAATATAAATGTAAATAAATAATATCAATACATATAATATAAATGTGTATATATAAACTTACCCCCGTAAACTTCACAAAGCAGCTCTAGGGTGTTCCCTTCATCATATGGTTCCAGTAACCTGGTATGATCTCGTGTCTTGGCGTCCATTATCGCCGGTCTGTTAGGAGGTGCTAAAAATATATCAAACAAATTATTATACTACTAAAAACATTAGATTTATTAATTATACATACATTTTTTAATTATTAATGATTAATCGGCTTAAAACGAAAAATGGTATATTTACTATTTTATAAAATATTTAAGGGATAAATTATTTTTTACTAGCGACTCAACCTTGCTTCGCTCGAGGAACGTTTTAAGGGTTAGTATGAAATAGATTATATAAAGATATGATGAATTATTGTTGGTAGCATTATAACGTATTTTCTGTGAGAATGAGATAATCTCCCGCAGTAAACAGTAACCTACGTCACTCTCCAGCCCTCGAACTATCTCCACACAAAAAAACACGCCAATCCCTCACTCCATTTCAACGTGAAAGAAGGAAAAACAAACAAACAAACAAACAAACAAACAAACACACTTTCACATTTATAATATTAGTATGGATATGGATATGAACTAGCGCCTCCTTCGCTTGGGTGCGTCCCTAACCCCTAAGTGCGTCATAGTAGTCAATTTGTTATTCTAGGTCATAGTCATGAAATTCATCCAGACGCTTCAATGTGAAATAGTACAAACACACCATACCAATACATACATTTTTTTGTATTTATAATAGCCGTACTTTGATTTACCAAATAATAAGTTTGCGTAAAAATAAAAGAATATTTTATTGTTTCATATCAATATCATTTACCGTACGAAAAGCAAAATCTATCTACGGAATCATTAATTTTAATAGGGCTATGCTTTGATCATATTGCCGTCTAACAATGATTACTAGATGTAATATATAGTTTGTAGTTAAACGGTTTCCGATACTTTATTCTTGGATACAATTCAACACGAATTATTATAATATGAAAAACTAAGAAGAGAGTTTTTGTTCGAGGAAGGTATGAGAGAATATAGCAAGTTTTCTAAAGATTTCAAAAGACACGTGAAGCTTGCTAACCCGGATTGGAAAAGTAAAATAGTGGTTTACTATAGACTGATGCTCTTCATATTGAAGAGAGGCCCACGCTCAACAGTGGGACGCTAAAAAGAGTTGAATAGATGAGGTAATATAAGTATTGAGCTAAATTATTAGATTTTGAATTTTTAGACTATTTCCGTGTACATATTATCTATACATATAATAAAATTCTAACACAGTCAAATATGTACATTAAATATTTTTTAGAAAATCTTATTGAAATAAACATTATTATCGATACAGAGGCCGAATCTATACTATTTTAAATTTTTGTCTGTCTATCTGTCTGTCTGTCTGTCTGTTACCGCATCACAGAAAAACTACTGGACGGATTTTGATGAAATTTGGTATGGTCATAGCTAATTATCCGGGTCAACATATAGGATACTTTTTACGGCAGAAAAATATCTCATTTCTGAGAAAAAATACAAAAACTGGTTAGAATAAAAAACGATGTTACTATATAGATTAACTTCCTATAATAAGTTAACTTCCTAAATATGTCAAAAACTATTAAAAATAGCTAATCTTGAAAAAGTATATCAATAGCACTATTTTATTCATAAAAAAATTTTTTTATGAATATTTATTTTTGTATTATTTAGATATTTGTCAATAGATGTCGCCATGTGTCTTTAAAATACGTAGTTTTTATTTCAAAAAATTGAATGTACAAATTCGACCTTTCTATGATTTTGTTAGAATTATTACTAAATTACCCGCGACCCCGCCCGTGTTTAAATTATCAAAAAACAATCTTTTTGGCTTGATAAATTAGTTACATCGATAGATACATTACAATTTAATGAAGCAGTATCTGTGCTCTAAATATTTTTTGGAAAAATTTATTGAAATACACATTATTATCGCTAATAGAGGCCAAACCTATAGTTTTAAGAATTTTTGTCTGTCTGTCTGTGACCGCATCACAGAAAAATCACTGGAGGGATTTTGAAGAAATTTGGTATGGTAATAGCTGATTATCCGGGTCAACTAATATACTAATACGAGTATACTAATATATAAAACCTAAGAATTTGGTTTTGGTCATATGGCGCGGGCGGAGCCGCGGGCAATGCTAGTTATACATATAATTAAATGTTACATGCAGAACCGCGGGAAAACGCTGGTGTAAAAAATAATCAAAATGAAAGAAAGACAATTTGGCTATAATCATATCAATAGAGTACATTGAAAGTACAGTTTACGCTTTTACTGTACCGTAATATTTATGGATTATAGACTTAATTAAAAATATATGCGGAAAAATCTGCCGGATGATATGATGAAAAATTATATCAATATAAGCTTTTATAAAGCTATCTATCAACAAATACGTTTATTTACCAAGCGATATATTTTATACTAGCTCACCCTCACTTCACACGGGTTCACCTCTTAGAAACCAAAAATAAACCTATCCCACGGAAATCGTACATTTTTCCAGGATAAAAAGTCAGCCAATGTATTATTTCAGACTATAATCTATCTCTGTGCCAAATTTCATCTAGATCCGTTCAACCGTTCTGGCGTGAAAGAGTAACAAACATCCATACAAACTCACAAACTTTCACATTTATAATATTAAATAATACGGATATAACTAAGACAAACTTTTTAAAAATATATCGAATAGTTTTATTCAGTGTATATAAACAAGAAAGTAGTGATTGTGAATCGAATGCTACTGTTCTACTTAGAGTAACTTTATGAACTTGCAGTTTCAGGAAGAAGCATTAAAAATTGTTCCTGTTCTTAACAACTTATTGTAAGCAATGAAGATTCTTGTAAACAATATTTTTTTAAAACACTTGCTAAACAAATTCAATATTGTTTTCTCATATATTTTTTTCTATACTAATATTATAAAGAGGTAAAGTTTGTGAATTTGTGAGGTTGAAGGGGGTAATCTCTGGATCTACTGATCAGATTTAGATGAAATTTGATAAAAAGATCGTTTGAGAGCCTGAAAAGGATATAGGATACTTTTTATCCCGGAAATCATCCCTTAAAGGGGTGAAAATGGGGATGAAAATTTGTATTGGCAAACTAGGGACGAACCCGAGTGAAGCGAGGGTGCGTCGCTAGTCATACTATGCAGTAACTTATAATTTAATAATATGTTAGATTTACTTGAATATTTGACATTTTAAATAAAACTACGAGTACATATTCAGTTTTTTACGCGAATTTTTTATGGGTTCCCGATGTTCCAAATGCTTTCGATCAAACATGGTGACATGAGATAAATTATCTTAATTAGATATAAGAGATTTCTTAGCATTTTTTATAATACTGTATTTATCCATTTAGCCGATCGAGACCAGCCATGCCTTGTACAAAAGCACTCCCTATTCGGGCTATTCCGTACACTACAAAGCTAATTTGTACATCACGAAAAAAAACAGTAATTCCTTAGGCCCTATCCAGGACTCGAACCGAGGTCCTCCGGATCTACAGCCGTAAATGCTAGCCAAATTAATTACTATTGTATTTAACACCAATTAAAGTTAATATTAAATGACCTCGCATAATGAAAACATAAAGTCTTTAATCGCTTTAACTCTACACTCTATGTACCTTTTCAAATTGGATGCTCCTTTGATAACTTTATTAAAACAAGGTAAACTCGTTACGCATTCTCCTTCCGGGACAAAAACTGACTTCCGGAAATTGATTAATTTTTAAAAACTATTAGCTCTTTTTATTAAATTTGAATATTCTTCAAGTACTTTTAATTAAAATAAACATAATATGACTCGCAAACAAACTTACAAAATGAATAAAAAGCTCAATAATGATTTTAATATTAGCTTAGTGAGCTATTCCTCATTTAAGACATAAAAAAAAAAATATATAACGTATCTTATAAAATTAAATAAGGAATTCTAGTATGAATATAAATTTGTATTGTGTATCTCGTAAACGGCTGTAACGATTTGGATCAAATTTTGTATTTAGATAAGGTGTTTCTTTTTTAGTTTATTTATGTAGGTACGTGTACTTCCTAAAAAAACGCAAGGTTTGTATTTTTTCCGAGAAACGCCAAGCAAGGCTCAGTCGTATACGACTCAAGATAATTGTAACCGGGTGGTTACAATTATCTTAAATGTTTAAGCGTGAAAAGATAACAGAGAGAGTTACTTTCATATCTATACAGATAAATAAAATTAAAGTGTCTGCGTGTAATGTCAAAATAACGGTTTTTTACTACATGCATATTAAGTATATACGATACTAATAAGAAAAAAAAATATTTTTATTTTTTTTGTCTCTTCCAGCTAATCTTCAAAACGGCTGGACCGATTTTGATGAGACTTTCACTGGCATATAGCTGATGGTAAAATTAGGGTACCGCCCAAAAAAAACATGAAATTGTAAACAAAATCGTACCTAGGAACGCACCCCTATCAGTTAGCATAGTTTATAATATAAGTAATCATAAGAAACTTCAAACAACAGATCTAATTTGCAAAGTTCACTTTATGAAACAAGTCTTTACATTTCTAGTAACTCATTAAGCAACTATAGATTCAATGCGCCACTTTCTGTTTACGTGTTCTATAATTAGTTAGCGAGTTGGAACCACAGAACCATCGGGCTGTCGATTAAACTTTATACACGAGAAAGTATAAAATTTTGATTTCGATGTTCATTTTATTTTCAACTAATGTAATAATAAAAGTTTGGTACAACTGTTTGTGTAAATACCAGGATAAGCTTTGTAGTTGTTTCATGTTTTAAAGTTTAATATGTAGGATTTATAAAATACTATACTATAACTTAGTAGATATATTTTTACTACAAACAATTTTACGTAATAACTAGCGACTTACGTCTATTACAAATGATGATTGTGAAAACCGCACCCAAATCGGTTAAGCCGTATCTGAGATTAGCGCGCACAAACGCACAGACAAACAAACAAAAATCCTTAAAATCATTGTTTTGGTTCTATTGCGTTAAGAAAGGCCCCCAATAATAGTTTTTCTTAAATATTTTTCATGTACAGACAGTGATCAGTTACAATTTTATTATATGTATGTATAGATAGCACGTCTTCATGAAATTCGTAACATAGTGTAAATGAAGTTATAATGCTTTTTGGAATGTTTAAGATGTTACGTAATACCTATTACTTTAACATAAGAAATATTATTCGACAGTAATATAATATATAACAATCATGAAAAATGTAAAAAAAATCGTATTTAGTAGGTATATAATATAAAAAGTATTTTATAATAATTAATTTTTAAACTATTTTCAAAAGACAATGCTAAATTGATATAAAAATTAGTCATGCTCAATCTAATATAATATATAGAATACAAAATACTTCCAATAAGTAAAGAAACTACTTACTTATAACAGTGAAATTAATTCGTAAATTTCTCGTAGGAGAGTTCTTGAAGTCGACTCTACATCTGTACACACCGGTGTCTGCTGTACCAACATTGTCAACGAGAAGGGTGGCAGGTGCCGCTGTGGCTCGAAAGTATGCTCGTGATCCAAACCCAGTAGGTGAAGACCATAGTTTGGGCTGGTTAGGTGTGCGCCCGCGCACGTCATAGCTACAAAAAAATGTATTTAAGCATTTTTCTTTGCAAGGTAGATAAAACCTAACAAAAATTACTTGATAGCTAATATTCAATTTGATCTGTCTTTGAAAGTTAACTTTTGTCAAATTAGAACGTACTGATATTAATAAAATTTTAAAAGAAATAAGATATAAAACATAAAGTTTTAAAATAATCTTCTTAGAAACAATATTATTTGCATCTTTGTGGCATATCAAAGTTACATACCTGTATAGAGGTTCCCAGTCTGCTTCTTTAAACCATAACACCATGGCGACTCTATCGTCGGCGGAAAGGGGTTGTGTGTCACATGGTAATGATGCTTTCTTACCCACCACTCCAGCAACGTGCGCTGTGGGTACTGCGAACAAAATAACTAGATTATACAAATATACTTACAACTTATTAAGAGTATTTAAAATTATATTCAAAATATATCAGCACTTTTTAATTCAATTCATTTATTTCATGGCTTCTAAGAGTGCCAGTTGGGTATAATTTATTTCACCAATGTCACGTAGAATGGAGAAGACATACCGTTAATTACAATTATAGGCGTCATTCGGTTACTATTTGAGATTAAATAACATATTCCCTAATAATATAGAAAAATAAAAGAATCCTTTATGTAGCAAGACAAAAAGTAGCCTATATACATATCATTTTAATCTATTTATAAAAGAAGAAGAAGAAGAAAACAAAGAACGATAAACTAGGAAAGTTTGTGTATATACAATTAATTTGTAGATATTTTGTATAAAATGACTGAGCCTAGACGGTATTTTGTCAAAAAAAACTGTTTTCGTACGGTTACACGGCTAACGCTGGCTAAACCTTAAGAGATAAATCAAAATTGTAAGATTTAAAAAGGCCTACAGAAACACCCACGACATGTGTGTATCTCCTAAGGTACATTCACAATAACTATTTTTATCTTAATAAAACGTTCAAAGGGACGGGACCTAAGCGAAGCGAAGGAAAATCGCTAGTGCTAGATAAATTCATTTTTTTAGTCGTACCTACTATGCCAATGGAGATGTGGGTAAAAATTAATATGCACATATTGAATTATTGAATGTATTTATAAGTGAATGGCCGATAGTACTCAAGTGTATCATTCAGTGAAGCGGTCAGTCTCAGCTTGTTGCCGTGAGAACCGATGCTTCAGGTATTAAATTACTAGGATATATAAAACTTCATAAAAATTAAATAAACCAGTATCTGTATCTACGATAGTTTGAGCTTGGGTTTTTTTTTTAATTTCTAAGCTTTATACAGATCAATTTTATATATAAATATGAAGTCTTATTTATATGGCTTTCATTTGATATCCATATCATGGAGGTGCATGGTAAAACATAGTCCGCCATCTTTGGAAATCCGCCATATTGGATTTAGAATCACGTCACTTAGCTAACCATGCATTTTCATTTAGTATTAAGCTGAAATTTTGCTTACACGTTAAGTTTGACGTGTATGAAAGATTTCAGCTCAAACGGTTGAGGATATGAGCTTCAAAATTCAGATACAAAATTTGACCCTAACTTACATACTAATACCTCAAGTGAAATAAAAGCTTGTAAAAAACAACACTTACATTCACTCATTCACTCTCTTACAAACTTTCGTATTTACAATATAAAAGTACTGAGTGAATTCAAAGACGTTTTGATAGCTCGAGCTTTAGTTCCACATAAAAGGTGTCATATTATATTCGTATAATAGCGATTATCTGTAAATAGAAACGAGTAGGGTATTGTGATAGAAGTCAGGGCTAGGAATTTATTTCGCAAGGTAGGCAATATAGTTAATATTATATATTAATTATATATTTTATCATTCTCTGCGTGCTTTATAAAACGTTATATAGTTTATAAAATAAAGAAAATATTATTATGAAACACAATTGCATTTTTATCATTTTTTGACCCTTTGAGTCCCAATTTTTTTAATTCAAATAATATATTAGTCCTTACAGTAATTGCTATCGAATAATCAAAACTTATTTTATTAATTACTATCAGACCTGACAGACGTTGTCCTGTCTGTCTTCAATATGGTTTTCATCTTCGGTATTCACTATTGTCTTCACATAAAATTCTAAAGCCCGATTACAGCGTCATCTACCGGGTCAATTTGTAAATTTAAACCATCCAGCAATCCATTCAAAGACACAAAAAAATCATCAACATCGGTCCAGCCATTTAGGAAGAGTTTAGTGAGATACACAAATACAGAAGAATTATAATTTGCAAGTTTTAATAAGTATTTTTATTAAAATACTAGAATATTTCCATATACATAAATAGAGATGCCTTTTTTTTGTATTGAAGTGAATCCAGAATGAGATCCATCGGTTCCGGGACCTGATCTTATTTTATTTAGTTTTATAAAACCTTATAACAATGCATTCTAAATAAAAAAAATATCTTTTCTCATTCTAGCTTTATTTAATAGTAATACAAAATAAGATAGAAGCTTTCAGTTTTTTTTTATTTTTTTTTTCATACCAAAGTTAGACTACAGAATCAGAATTCGTTTATATACGCAATACGTCCGTTTCTCAACCCAGAAAAAATATGCTCTGAATAGATGATAAACAAACAGACTGTCCAAAACGGGATTGATTCTTTATGGATTTCGTTCTAACATTGAATATATGGAATCTATATATAAGTAAAGATAAAAAAGTTCAGTACCTTTTTCTTCTCTGATTTTCTTTTTTTTCGTAGCTATTACGAAGTTTAATGTTATTAATAAAAACTTTTTGAAAACAGATTTTTTATATAGAATTTTGTATTTTGACCACCAAGCGAACACTAGTCTATACATATAATAACATTTTAACTAAGTGAATCTGTACATTAAATATTTTTTGGAAAATCTTATTGAAACACTCATTATTATCAATACAGAGGCCGAATCTATACTTTTTAGAATTTTTGACTGTCGGTCTGTGTGTTTGGAAACGCATCACGAGAAAACCACTGGATAGATTTTGATGAAATTTGGTATGATGATAGCTGGTTACACGGGTCAACATATAGGATACTTTTACCTCGAGAAAATATCTTATCTCTGAGAAATATATATTAAACTTTAAAACGTAACTAGGGACGAGCCCAATAGGAGCGAGGGCGAGTCGCTACTTCTATACATGTAATAAAATAGTAACTAAGCCGAATTTGTACATTAAACATTTCTTGGAAAATCTTATTGAAATAGACATTATTATTGATACAGAGGCCGAATCTATAGTTTTTAGAATTTTTGTCTGTCTGTTACTGCATCACAGAAAAACCACTGGAGGGATTTTGATGAAATTTGGTATGGTGATACTTTTTACTGCAGGAAAATATCTCATTTCTGAGAAAAAATACAAAAACTGCATTTTAAAAGTATACTAATATGTCAAACCTAAGAATTTGCTTTTTGGTCATCTGAACGCAGGCGGAGCTTCGGGCAATGCTAGTCTAAAATAAAATCAATTCTCAAATAACGGTAGGTACTAAAGATACATAATATAGTGACTTTTACATCATTTGAAAATATCTTCTTTACCCTCACTTCATTCAGATGTCTTGAGTATCTTTTGCAAGTCAAAAATAAGTTTTAATTCTATAAAAATGCAGAGGTTAGTAACTATTTGAACATAAGGAGAAATTATTTTTTCTACTAAAATACAATATATACATATCTCTAATATAATATAATTTTCATCTACGCTTCTATTATTTGGTCACATGCACATTTGACTGTGAAATAAAACCACGAATACTTAATTTGAGACAGAGTTCCAATTTACTTTTATCTTTCCTGCAAATATACCAAAATTGGATAGAGCAAAATTCGATAACATTAGCTATCAAATGATAAACTTACTTCCGAAATATTTTAGCTACACAGCTAGAGATTGAAAATTAGCAAAACACGATAAAAAATTCATTGCATCTGTATCCTGCAGTGTTCGTGCTAGCCACTAGACCAATAAATGCAGTCGATAAATCTATACAGATAAATAAAATTGAAGTGTATGTTGTAATGTCAAAATAACAGCTTTTTACTAAATGCATATAAATAACATATATACCCACGATACTAATAAGAAAAAAAAAACAATTTTTAAAATGTTTGTCTGTTTGTTTGTTTCGGATGATCCCCAAAACTGCAGAACCGATTTTAACGGGACTTTCACTTAGTATGTATAATAATATCGATATGTAATTTATAAACTAATAAAACACTTTTAAGTTTTTATTCCACCAATATAAGTGATTCTTCCGTATTGCTTAACATACAAAATAATATAACCTGACTCCATCAATCCTTTTTGAGTTTGAATTAGATTTTTACCAAATTACTGCGATATTTGAACTAATTAAATGCTAATAATTGTCAAAGCAACAAAAGCATTCAAACGTCAAAGACACTATCAGAGTAGGGTTATTCTGTCATTTGTGCCGTACTATGTAATTTGTTTATGCATAATAATATATACATATTATATAGACATTATTTTATTATTATGTATATATATGTTTATGAATATATAATAAAAATATATGTGGTAAAACTAGTATTTTATATAATATGTAAATTTTTATGTATGTTTATATTAAATTTTAATGATTTGCATGTAAGAGATCATTTTTAGTTATAAGGCAGCCTTTGCAAATCTCTTAAATTTTTTTTAATGTTAATGTGCTATTGTCGTGTGCAAAAGTGTTATAAAAAACATTCATATGACCTCATAATACCTTCTGAGCTTACTTCATTTAAGTATATCGTAAACACATGTTTCTTTTACGGTCTCTTCTGTAGTTTTTTTCAACATCCATTTCTACGGAACCCCTTATTTGTGATTCAACCTTAAACTTGTCAATCAATCGGCTTATATCCATCGATTCTTACTAAACGGCTGGATATCGTCAGCTCTTTGAGGGGTCGTTGAATAAACAAATAATTACCGATCGCACACAACTGTATTTGTAAGAAATGGGAATTGTTTACACAAATGCTGATTTCTGTTTGGTGTAAGGCATACTTGGAAGTACTTTTGTATTTTTACCAACTTCAAACAAGGGTAGCTCATTTTGGCTGATTTTTCGGATGAATTAATATTTTTCGGATATTGATTATGCGATATTTTCGCTAATTTTGAACTGATTTTCACGTTGTCTAATGAAAAGATTTAAAAATTTTAAGAAAAAATCTAACCTCTAATATCGAAATATTCTTTATAGTAATTTTGAAGTTATTGTACCTTTTAAGTTCCATTTATGTAAGAAAAAATTGATTTTTTTTAATTCGATCAGACTTGGAAAACTAAGATTTCAATGTTTGTTGAGATGGGCTTGGAAA